AAGCGTTTAAAAAATGTGAAAAAGTAAAAAATAAAAAACATTTTCGCTTTCGGCCTGACATTTTTTTAAATTTCGGTTTCGTTTTTGAAATTCTCAGTCCGGTGCACCTCTAATATTACGGATTGCTATTTTTACATCCTCCTTGAGTGGCGATTTCTGCCTGACTGCCCATACTACCAGCCTCCATCGATCAGCATCCCGCTGTAGCTATGGCAACCTGTGACATGGCCGATTCCGCACTCCCCTAATGGGTGCGTGCGGCCTATCCTAGGAATGCCTGATGAAGGGGTTCCTGTGTGTCCCAGAAACGTCGCACTAAGTGTGCTATTTTGCTTTTGATGTACGTCAATAAATAGACGTAATCGATTTATTATTGGAGTGCCGGTGTCTATTTCTTTTCTGCATTACTTTGACGGTGGCCATCCGTCGACTACTGAGCACCCAGGATACTTTGTTGGACGTGCGGTCAGGAGTGCAATGGGTACATGGACTATCCTAGGAATGACCCTTTCGACGATGCTGAGGGGCGCAGCCGAGTCATTCTGACGTGTGCGGCTTTCCCCACATGCTGATACACGGAGCGGGGCGTGACTAGGGGTTGGCTGGGTATACTGTACAGCAGCTGGCCACTCCCCTAACCGTTGACCAACGGCTGGCCGCTCCCCTAGCCGTTGACCAACAGCTTTCCTGCACGGACAGTTGCTTACTGCATCAGATCTGTTCACCTGTTACACGGCCTCCACTATCCATCCTCGAGGTATTTATCTTTTACTCTTTTGACCATAGAGCATACCAGGAGCCTAACTAGAAATCACAGGGCCCCGGAGCAAAGTTTTGTATGGGGCCCTGTGATTTCTAGTTGCGCCCCTTGCAGAGGCCACCTGAGATCCCACACTGCCCACCTGAGAGTGACCCTGCAGAGCCCACCATAGACCTTCTATGGCGGGGCCCTGCAGGGTCTCAGGTGGGGTGGTCACGCCCCTGCACACATCTTACCTGTCAGCCCCGATTCAGTGTCAGCTTCCTCCACCGCCAGGCCCTGCCTCCTTCTCTGCCGACACCGGGCCCCGGGCCTCCTCCACCGCAAGCTGCTGGCTGTCACTGACTCTGCAG